GCAGAACAGGCTCCTGGTAGGAGAGACAAAGACTTGACAACATTGTATCAAATAGCCAGGTTACTATTTAGGAGGGAAGAGATCAACACAGATGAAACCAATGAAAGATTGTTGAAAAAACCTAGTTACCGCCACAGAGAGGGAACAAAGGAAACGATGTGTTGACCACTTCAAAAATTCTTGAATAAATCACCACCATCAACACCACCAGCAACTCGTCCAGAAATACTGCTTACAGCCCAGCCACACAACTATCAGTGAACACAAACCCTCCGACAAAAGTCGAAGTCCTGAACGCCATAAAGCTACTGGAATGCGGGAAAGCAGCAGGAACAGATGGAATTCCTCCACAAGCACTGAAAACAGACACAGACACAACAACGGACACGCTCACAACACTACTGCTGAAGGTTTGGAAGGAAGGAACGAGGGGTACCTGCTCAATGATTGCAAGAATGGCTACCTTGTCAAACTCCCGAAGAAGGGTGACCTAAGTCTTCACAAGAACTGGAGCGGGATCATGCTCCTGTCCACCAAAAGCAAAACACTAAGTCGGACCATCCTGGAGAGATTAAACAATGCGCCGGATTCAAAACTACAACCGGGACAGGTTGGCTGGCTTCAGAAAGTACAAATCATGTGAGGATCGAACTGCAACACCACGCTATGCATCATCATAGAACACTGCATAGAATGGCACTCAACTCAACCTCAACTTCATCCACTTTGAAAAGGCCTTCGATCGAGGCCTCTACAGAAAAGTAATTTGACAATTGCTTCAACACTGCCGAATACCACAAACCTTTATCAACCTCATTCAACTACTATATGACGACGCCACATGCCAAGTGATTCACAATGGAAAGCTGAGTGACGTCTTTGAAGTGAAGACACGAAAGAGTAAGACAAGAGGCTTTCTACTATCACCCATAATCTTCTTGATTGTGGTCGACTGCATCATGCAACAAACAGTGACGAGCGAGAAGAGTGGCATATACTGTTTGACCGATTAAAAGGTAGTTGAAGATTTTGATTGCGCCGATGATAATTTACGTATAATGTCGCACAAGCTCGTAGTGGTACAGATGAAAACTAACAAGTTGGCAGGAGAGGCGAGCCAGCGAAGACGGGACTTTTCTTCAGGTGAACGTAGAGAAGACAGAGGTGGTGAAGATACCCAACTAACGCAACCAGAAACAACAACAAGCACCAATCACCATCAATGGAAGAAATACAAAGGAAGCTGTTTTTTCACCTACCTAGGGCGCATCGTTTCAACTATAGGCGGCGGCAGAGATAAGGACGTCAAAGTCAGGATCAGAAAGACAGAAAGACAGGTGTTCATTAACCTGAAACCAGTGTGGAGATCTGCACTCAGCATAAAGCGTGAACAAGATCCGGATTTTCAACACTAATACAGTCAAGTCGGTGAGTTTATGGGATGGTTGAGAGACTTAGCGCGTTACGAGAAGCATTTCCAACAAACCACAGATATTCATCAACAACTGCCTACGCTGGCTAGTTACTAAAGATCAGATGACCAGAATAATAAGAATAAACAACAAGGAACTCTGGCTGGCTGGCTGGCTGGCTGGCTGGCTGGCTGGCTGGCTGGCTGGCTGGCTGGCTGGCTGGCTGGCTGGCTGGCTGGCTGGCTGGCTGGCTGGCTGGCTGGCTGGCTGGCTGGCTGGCTGGCAACGAACCAACCAACAACCTATCGCCCAACAAATATGCAGAAGAAAGTGGAGATGGATTGGATTTGACATACACTGAGAGGACCATTCGAGGACGTCATCTGCCAGGCACTCGGGTGGAATCTAGAGGGGAAACGATGAGTTTGGAGTCTGAGGGTGACATGCAGTAGACCCTGTGAGGAAGAAATGAGAGCTTCTGGGTTGTCGTAGAGCCAGGTTGGAAAGAGTTAAGAGAAGAGAGTGAAATGGGGACGTGCTACTGAAGCCCTATGTTCGACTAGGAACCCAAAGGAAAAAGAAAAATATCTAGATGTGTCATCATACAGTGGAACAGTATTGTCATTTACTGGATAACGTTTCGGACACAATTTATTGTTCATATTCATATCATGTAACTTTACATATGTAATCATAGATATATGGAAAATTCAACTACCCTTATCCCACAGGAGGAGACAGAACTAGAACTGAGTGACAAAATGTCTCAACGTTGAGATATTACTTTGATGGTAAATTTTATCTGAAAAGCTATCCAGTGAATAATACTGTGTGAAACTCATCTAATAAGCAGACTAAGGCCGGATTCGCGTGTTTCCGGTGCTAAATATTTTAATGAGAAGAACACAGTACAGCAGACATTTAAACAATCTACTTATATGAAGAATTAGAAGAATAAAAGTAGTGTCAAGTATGCATACAATCAAAGAAATGTATGCGAAAGGAGTGGAGAAAAAGGAAAAGGGATGATATACTGAATTTTTCTTTGAATCTGTTGATAAGGTTTTCCTTGGCTAAAGCAAAGATAAAAATTGCACAAACTTTTTTGTACACAAAGACTGGTGTTGCTTTCTTTAATTCCATTCAAACAAATTTGTAGAATATGATAGGTGATTTTGAACTCTTTCGTCTTATCTATTATATGACTACTATCAATCAATTGCGACAGGATTAAATTTTCTATTGACTTCACTTTTCCCTATCTTAGGCACCAGGATTGGTGCCCAGAAAAGCTTTTGTTAGGCGGCCTAGTGATATGTCTGATACGGTGGCATATAGAATTGGCAAAACTGGGGCAGCTTGTTTTTTGTCTAAGCAACAATGGTCAGGCGACTAGAAAATGTGATAAGTAAAGGTTAGCAGAGTAGAAGGTCGTTTTGATGGCTATAAAGATATCATGTTTCCCGTTCATATTCACTTTTTCTAACTTGTAGATGAAGTGGAATATATATTTAACACGATTCTTTAAAACTTGCTTGTGTAAGGGTTTTAGGACTACGGTTACTTGTAATTTCCCGTTGCTATACAGGGTCTAATTTCTCAACATCTATAAGCTCCTATGCGGATGCTGTCTAATATTCATGATATTGTATTCATTTTGGGTACTAGCAGTGAAATCAAAGTCATACATTCCGTCTTATTCGGGACTCTTCAGCTTGATGTACCTGCACCCGAACCTAGAACCTATCACTTGAAACTCCAAAGCATTATCCATTTAGCCACTAGGGCACGATAGCTACCACTGGTGCAACGATTAGCAGTTACTATTTTGAAACTTATAATGTCTCTTTGCCATAAAGGGCTGAGATGTTCAACCTCAATCAAATAGTACGAAACGCACGTCCTGGATGTCACTGATAGTCACCATGATGAATATAACATAATTAATATCAGGTAAGATTTACGTGTCGACGTAGGAGCCCATCTGTCAAAAGAGGTCGGACAATTCGACCTGGGAAATTACAAGTATCAAACAAAAAGTGATGTCCATAGAACAATAGGCGCCTACCGTGCCCCAGTGGCCTAGTGGACAACGCTTTAGCGTCTGAAGAGATGCCTGCTCAGATCCAGTCTCAGTGGCAACAACATCACTCATTGGGGTGCAGGTGCATCCAGCTGGCGAGGCCCAAATAGGACTCCACTGCTAGTCAGCAATATAATTGTATGAAGATGAGTATTAATAAATGTATATTGGCGATTGCTAGACCCTATCGAAAATGACACAGAAAATAATAAAGTCTAGAATAAAAATATTCCGGTTTATTGTCCAGGTGGATCCTAATGAATATAACAATAATAATAATCCCAACCTTCAAGTGTGAAGACGTTCCAGTCAACCAAAATTTCAGTGAATCAATAACCAAGAAGAATCGGCAGAAACATACCAATCAAAGACAGTTTATTCAAACGAGAAAACTAAATGACTGAGAGGCAGTAATACAGAAATCCATTAGAGAGGTAAAGACAGCCAATGAGAATAAAGAGTATACAGAGGGATTGTCAGTTGAATTGAAGTGAATAGGAGCATAATAAGATTACATCACAGATGCAACATATTGAGGCAGGAAGACTGATGCGAGGATTATAGGCAGACAATATATCTGACTTTTTAGAAAGATTTAACGAGGCACTAGGGAACTGTGAGAAGAAATATTATCTGAAATGCTTTGTCAGAACTATACACATCCATTCATCCACTTGACAACTACTTCTAATCACTATATATGTACCTATAGTTATTCTTACCATTTACCTTTAATAGCTCATTCGATTATACAATTAACTCTTAAAGCAATCAGTCTTGAGTTCAATCTCCACTACGCCTACTTCAGAATGGGAGGAGGCAGATGACATAATAAGTCTTGTAAATTAAGTATAACTCACAGTCAGTATAATAAACAAACCAGTACCGAGGAGCAGAGCTGAATTACTATATTACTAAAACAGCTTTTGTGCTATTATTTTCTAATTGTAACTACTTAGGTCAGCTGAATGAGGGTGAAAATCGTTCTGCATATTACTTATAAACAGAGACAAAAGCAAGATGAATCCATTCTACATCTCTTAATAAAACTGTGAAAGATGAACACGTAAGAAGAGATAATGATAAACAAGGCGATTTTCATCAATTCATTGAAACAAAAACGGCAACAACTGCGTGACTTCAATTCACTGCAAACAAGTAAAAGAAATCAACCAATCACATAACTGCACCCGCCAAAGAAAACTAGAGGCAGGAAGTTAATCAATCAACTTTAGCATATACTCATACACTAGGCAATCAATCGAATCACATTAATACAAAGTAGCATGTTATAAATATATTTGCGAAACCAATTACTTCACTTCCTTGTGAAGCTGTGATGGTGTTGTCAAGCATGGCATTGAAACGTTTGCCAGAGTACAAGCCACTGTGAACATCCACACTCTGAACTACAAATATTCACCATAATTTCTACATCTTATTCACGCTATAGTGAAAACCATTGCATAAAAGAAAAACTTGTTATAAATGATACAAAAACTTACTTGAAGAACGATCACTAGTACATAGATACTTGTAACTGGGATCTGTGTATATTATGCCAGCAAGTTGCTAAAATGAAAATTTGTATAAAGGCATGAAGAAGAAAAACGTTTCTAGGAATGTTTTAATAGAAACTACACATTGAGAAAAGGTCAACAACAATAATGAAGTCACTAAAAACGGTTACAGTTTGCATGTAACATGTTTCATGACCAGAGAGACAGAGAAAAACAAGGAATCCCCCCTCCCCTCTTCACTTGCAAGTGTTCTTACACAGTCATTAGTAGGCCGTATGTATGTATGCTGAAAGATCTCATGATTCCCTCAGGAACAGCAATGAAGATGGTCATCAATAGTCGACTGCCAGAAGACTGTATTTCCACACTTACTGCACCATATCTTATTTTCCCAAATAATATTCATCCTGAACTGATATCAGTTGGATCTTCTAAAAACCTGTGAGCACTTTCCAGGTATTTCTTCTACACAGGTGATCTAGTACAATGCCCTCATGTTTTGTGACTAACACATTACCATTCAACGATTACGTTGAAATTCAGTAGCACACATTTATGACAGAGCGCAAATCGACGGAAGTGGGAGAATGTGGACCATATACTTATGTCCAAGTCACTGAGTGGTATGGATATCTGCCGACATTGGGTGAACAGTTAAAGAGTCCCATACTAGAATGAAGCACTTACTTACTGCTCAAAGGTTTTCAATAGTTATCCAACTTGTGTTAGTCCGCGATGAGTTTTATCTCGGAATTTAGACAAGCAGTCCCCTGAAAATCGAAACTGAATAGCTGATTTTTCATTTTCCCTTTCAAGACTGCTTCCATACTATTTACCGGATGTATGATTGCGTCGTACAGGCGCACCTGCTTTATCAGGAGATATTTCTATAAGTGAGTAATCAATGTGAACTCATTTTATGTTGATCTTTACCAACTGAAATTGAAACAATTTTTTTTGTTGACTGATAAATAAACCTATCTTACCAAAAAAACAACAATCAATTGGTGATAAGATTTAAAACTGACCGATACTAACAAAACCAACGTAGAAACTCGTACATAAGTGCATCGACTCAAGTTGCCATAGTTCACAGAAGTACACAAAGAACAGGTGGATAGAATAAGACTGATATCAAAGTAGACAAAATAATGAGAGAATATACAATCTGGGGATAAAGGCTAGTGCAAAAATAATCAAGCTTTAGAAGATGTCAAGGAGTGAATAAATCTGCACCATTGTGACCGACTTTCAGCCATAACACCAAGAGCCCTCAACCACTGATTCTTTTCACGTCGAAAACCCCAACCAGGAAGTCTACATCTTCCTACATGGCTCAAACAAATAGTCAGCGACTTCATCAACTGGTACCAGGTCTTGGTATGGCCAATGTCAACACTTTTCCATCCTAATCCAACTTCCCACAGAATGGTACGTCAAGATAAACGGTGGATCGGCATTCGCAGTGCATGTCCAAGCCATCTCAGTCAACTTAAATTCAACTTGTCTGTCAGGCTTAGTACCCTCCTCCTGACCTTAACATTGATCACACGGTGACTCCACCGCACGTGATCAAAACGCTACAGCTGCATCATATCGTGGCCAGTTGGGGTTAGATGGATGTGTATAATGCTGTAACATTGAAGGATACCACTAACTCGTCGTTTTAGCAATATATATCTATAGGAGCGGATGAGATTACAAGAATGACTGTTTTTTATTACGAGTTTGTATGAAAAAAAAACTACACATACATCAAATAAGCTGAGAAACTATGATCAATAATTTTTGGAAGATACACTTCAATGATTCTGCTCCATATTCCATACCACACGATTTACTGCATACCAATAAAGCATTCAACAGGCAAAAATATGACCTCCCCCCCCCCCCTACATATGAGGAGAAGATAGAAAAGTTGGCGATTTCATTCAAGTTTTCATAATTTCAAAAGTGCTGATTGACTTCAGATACTCTTTGATCTTCTCGAATAATTTCATTCCCCCTAACGCAGATCAGTGTACTTGTATAGTCACCAGCTCTCTACTTGGTTGTTTCTATCACTCACTTCAATTTACGTGGAACATAAATTCATTACAAGAACGGGGACAAGTGACATTTATTTAATCTGAGCAAAACGTTTTATTGAAAAATGATGGTGGCGATAAGCAACTGTTCATATGATTTTCACCAAAGCATACTGTCATAGCACACGAAGTGTAATTTATATATAAACAATTATTTATCAACGTCAATCATACACTATAAACAAACAATTCGAGTCCTTAATTTGCTAAGTGATAAAAATGCTCATATAATCGCCAAAAAATTGGCATATTGATACGATAGTGTTCATCATGGACTGACACCATTTGGAAAACCATTGGAAACCCGGGAGAACTGAACAGTTGTTTCGTCTTAGTATGGGACTCCTCAGCAGTACGCATCCACGAACCCACCAAGAATCCAACTCAGTACCTTCCGGTTTCACGGCAAATGCGTTAACCATTCAGTCACCTGGTCGGAGTTCAATGGTTCATAGTTTTCCTATTTCTGTCAATTCACGATATAGCGTGACGGTCACCCAACGTCTTCAGTTAGCATCCGCTTCCCTTTCAACTGGCTGATCTCACAGGTTACTTCGGGATATCCATCTGGAAGTATGTCACTAATGAGTACTATACAGTAATGTATTTTGAGATGATGAATACTACTTTAAAATTAAAATCCCCATTCACCTCAAAATACAATATTAATATGACCTGATGAAGAGTAACAGTGTTCACATACCTCTGATAATTCTGAAGTCTTTCGAACTTACCCTATAAATATTACAGCATGGTATACCAGGGATCTTAGTTTGATATGCTGTCCCCGTAATTCCTTTTTATCTTTTTTCATTTTAATAACCTTCCACAGTGTTATCCAATCACCTCATCAAAGATTTTAATACCATCTGTTCAACATATTTGTCTCTCTATTTCATTATTAATTCAGTTGTTAACCTCAACGGTAATGCATTATTACTTAATGCACTAATCAGAGGTAGAAATTTGAGTATTGTGTCATGATAATGAAAAGTGTATTAATGACCTAAAGTGTATCCATGCACAACACTGATTCCCGTCTTATTCATACACTACAATCTACTGCTTTTACTTCTCATGCAATTCGACAGAAAAAAAGATATATAAATTATGAAACAGGCTGTAATCATACTCTGCTCGACCGACAGCTCCCACTTTGACATAGTGGTAGGGCTTAAATACCGCAAGGGCGCAATGAGCTACACTGTCTGGAACGCTTGTTTCTTAATGTCTTACGATACTAAAAACGTTCATTGGATATTAATAAGACGAAAAGTAGTTGCAATTATAGCGTAAACTGCTACGCTATAATGAGAATCCCATAGAGGTGTCCTACTTATGGCTAGACAGAGTGTGACAGCAGTGAAGTGTTTCCTACATATGACCAGTAGTAACATGCTGATGCTGCCTTCCTATGGAAAGAGCTGCTAGAAAGGTTGACCTTAAAAATACCACACTTCTCCTTGTCTCACGCTCATCCCACACCAGCAGTATGGGCTTTCATATTAGGCGTTAGAAGAGAATCTCAAGTCAAAAATCCTCAAAATGCTCCGTTTGACTGGCCTCAAGCAGATGGACAATGGGTTCTGCAGTTACACAAATCATTTTGTCTTTCAAGAACGCTGCATGAAAATTCGCGGTATGGACAGCTCAGAAGTGACAACCACCAGTACATTCCCAGCCGGATTGGCCAGCTGGCTGACAATCAAACACAACCTATCCTTTGTCTTGACCTCCTGGTACTAATATTGACCTTTTTACAAGTTTGTTAACCCCTTACTCTGAGACAAGTGATAACGATTAAAGCCATCGAAACACCATTCGTAGTCTCCTACGACTCCACTATCCGCTTTTAATTAAATCCTTTAATGTCCGAAATCGATGCCGAATTGCACAGCAAGCATCGATGACCACGTACAGGATCCAAGTGTGGTTAAAAAGGTGATCTCACCTGGCTAATACGGCAGATCTTTACAAATCACCAGAGATTCAGTGGCTAGCTTTCGTAGACCTACTGGCATAAGGATAGTATTCAGTTGTGGGACCGACAGTACACTCCTCGATTGAATATCATTCAACAGATGTATGTGTGATGTTCGACTGAATGTGAACTAGGAAGGATTGCGAGAACAACTGATACCTTTTCGTAATCTCCACCTACGCACCCACCGACTGCGGCTTGGATGATGCAAAGACCTGTCAATTCTGCTACAGAAAGCAAAAGGGTTCATACGTAGTCATAATGGCAGGCGACTTCAACACTCAAGTAGGAAAGCTGGGCTAATCGAGAAGGCATCTTGGAGATTTCTAAGGTATCCCATGAAAACGAACCGACAACCGTGATTGTGTTGTGCAATTATGTACTTTTAATCACTTGTTTCTGGTCATCACGAAATTCAAGCATGAGGACAGTGCCTCACAAAGCATCAGGATTAGGTTGAACCGCTCAACTATTTAGGTTCATTAAGGATACTGGTAAGCAAATGGTTTGTGAAAAGGATAGGACGTTGATAGCCTCTCAGAAGCGACGACCAGAACATTGAGCAGAACACTCTGAGGCGCAGATCAATTTGCCCATGGTCGCACTTCAGTTGCCCAGTATCCAGTCTAAACTTGTATAAGACGTCATTATCCGTTCTTCAACTCTCCTCAAAGTTGAGACGCCGGTGTCGGACCAGAAACGACACAAAGCAGCAGAACCTGACGATTTGCCACTAGATGTTTTCGAAGATGCAGGTAGCCAATCTCTGATTAGAGAAGTTACGGAGGTACTGGGTAGTGTATGGGAATAAAACGTAGTCACGTCAAGCTGGTCTACTTCACCAGCCATTCCAATCTAAAAAGGGAGAGAAATCTTTCTGTGACAACCACAGGGAAATCGGTTTGACTAATATCGTGTCCGAGATCCTAGGGTCTATAGTTATCCGATACCCAACTGGAGTTTGAGGGCAACAAACTCGAGGATACCAAGCAGGTTTCAGATCTGGAGGGGGGTAGACCGATCATATTTTCACCCTTCACCAGATTATGGAATATAGGCGTACTCACTGTTGGCTGATACGACATAACACTTGACATGGAGGCAGCATTTAACACTGTCTACTATGAAGAGTTATGACACTGTCTGATCGTTAACGTAATGCCGAGCAGTCAGATAAGGCCAATCAAAGCTCTCTACTCAAACTCAAGCAACCGCGTAAGGGTTTATGGAGAGTTGTTATAAGAAGTCACGAAAACTACTAGTATCCGTTACGGATGCCTGCTGTCGACATTCCCACTCAACTTCAGTATGTACGTACTAGTGGACAGAAACACAGGTATTTCTGTATTCGAAAAGATTAAACTTCTCACTGGAAGGCACCTGGTTGATTTGGAGTATGCAGATGATATTAAATGTATTGAGTAGAAATCTGAGTGTTTGGTATACGTCTTGCACCTATCACATATCAGATGGTTCTTCCGGACTGGTCTACAATCACTTTCAGTTTAATGATGGAACGTGAAGTGAAGGAATGTGTCGACTACTTCACTTACTTGTGGAGTCGCATCAGCCTAAATTGGTCGGTTTCTGACGAAATCTCAGATCAGATACAGAAGGCCTCTTTAGGAACTTGCATCACCTCTGGTGCTAACCAGTGAGATATCCAACTACCCCATTAAAGGATGAATATGCGGTGCTGCAGTCCATTTGTCCCATCATACGGCTGTGAAACATGGTCATTAAAAGCAGATTACTGGGTTGAGGTTCAAGAGATCAAAGGTGACGTGAGTGAAAAGCACTTACAATGGTGCAGCTGTATTCACTGTGTGACGTCCTGTAAAGCTTGAGTATTTTCAGTAAGGGTTATTTTCGTATTCGTTTTCTTCCATACTTTGGCCTACTTTGATATCTCTATTTCTCAATCCACCTGTTCTTTGTAAGGTGTGGTAATGTCAACTGATGGACTTGTGTATGAGGTTTTACGTTAATCTCGTCTGTCTCCGCCTTTCTGTCATACCCTAGCCATATGTTATTGAGCAAAACTGTTCGGAAAACTGCAATGCCTATTGGAAAGGATGACTGTTAAAGAACTGAGTCACCAATGTAAACCATTAGCCAGAACTCCATTTTATATCAAAGAAGTCCGTCAAGTAGAACTGCACTGAACGCGTTAATTCGTAGGTAAACAATCTCTAAGGTGCAACTGCTGCGTTTGTGTAATGAAACAACATGCCTATTGCAATGACTCATCCAAAAAAAAAATAACTAGAAAGCTTATTCGGCGACATGCTACCACATCAAGAAGAAGGGTTGGAGAATGATGATATCAATGGAAGTTGACTTCAACTTTATGATTTCATAATCAAAATACCAGAAAACAATGAAATTCTGAGCGAGAAATCATGTAGGTGACAATACCATGATGTAGCAGTGGTAAGGCGAAGAAAACAAGCATTTTTAGATGATGCTACTTTTTCAAAAGAGTGGTTACGGAAAGATCACCTTTAAAAACTGTACATTTATGCTTTATTCCACAGAATCCCCTTCATAATACCAGGGAATTCGGAAGTAAGGGTTCAAGGTGGTCAAATCTCAATCTTAGAAGATTTTCCTCGAAGGCTATATGGGTTTAAGAGAAATCTCATACTCTTTACAGTTTCAAAAGAGTACTGAACTTAAGATAGGAACTAGGTTGATGTCAGAAACTCTTTTCAAGAGAAATTCAGATAGCAAAAACTGCCATCATATTCAAAATTCTAACAACTAATACTTACATACAATGAAAATTTCCTCAGGACGTAAGTCTTGTAAACAGGAAAAATATACTTGAAAATCATTGAAAATCTCAGCATGAAATCCCTCAGTAGCGTGGATATCAGACAGCTAAATGAAGTGAACTCTATGGATTCTAACTCAACAGCTAAACGGTAAGGCACTCAATATATGATCTGAAAATTCGTAGCACGATCCCTCACATGATCATGGGTGTAAATTGCCCAGGTGACCCAAACTAGGTAGAAGTAGGTTTCCAATATCTATGTTTTCAATGATTCTCCAACTGATGTCGGAATCAATATCCACTCACCAATCGTGTGTATGCCTGTACGGTGAGCAACGAGTCACACTTATTGTGTGCCCAGACTTAGGTGTGGTGGGGGGAGGGGGAGGGGACTGCGTTCAAACCCTTGATCCATCAGTTGGAGAACGAATGCCAAAACCAATAAGTCACAACTTCAAACGATGTCGGTCAATGATGAATACAACCAACCTTGAAATAAATAAATCTCAATAAACCAATAATTGAATATTTACACCAAGATATCAATGTTCTAAAAAAGATGAATCCAGACCATTCAGTACGTAAGACATAACAAAAGAGTGAAACAGACAGATATATAATTTCTTCACTGACTGATCTGTGGAGACATAAACTGGCGAAAAAAGTTTTAATATCAACTCACTTCTGTACATTCAAATGTCGTAGATCCTAGAAATTCTGAATCAGCTGGAACACTCGTTGAAAACCTGATTCCAGCATTATTATTATTATTATTATTACTATTCGTTATTCGATGGTTAGCAAGAAGATTCCAGAATCGAATAGTTCCATCATCGGAACATGTGGCAAACATATCATTCAACCACCATGATGGTAACTGATTTAAAGCACTCCTATGCTCCCATTGTTCAGGTAGACAATCAACTGACCATATTCCTCGACTATGATAGAAATGTGATCGACTTTTATGAATAGCTGATAAATCGTGTATGTTCCACACATGAATACTAGAAAAAAAGGAAGATAAGAGGTGAACAACATAATAAAAAAAACCTTTTAAAAGAGAAATAGTAATTTCATAAAAAGTGTAGTAAGCAGGAAAATAAATGTTGCTAATTTGTTCAGATTATCGGTTATATAATAATTTAAGTTGATAATTTTAGGAACTAACGGGTTATGAGTGTAAAATCATCTTCACATACAGAGGTGTGGAGAGAGTTAGATAGTAGCATTAACTGCATCAGAATTGTTATGGTTATCAACTAAGAAGATGAAGCGCCTATGCAGCTGGTAAGATGTACAGCTTCATGTTCACTTCCAACGGGTAGATATAGGGTGGAATAATGGAGCTATAGATCATTGAATCGAGATACTTGATTTTTAACCGATGGGTCATAAGTCGAAACTCCCCCTCCATCTACAAAAGTTCAGGCAGCCAGCGTAGTATCACTAACCCTTGTACGATTGGTTTGATTCATTGTCTATTGTTCGAATATGACTGTGGTTAGTGAGTGTATTTCTTTCTTTCTTATTTTCCTTCTATTGTAAAAAGAAAACTCATGGAGTAATTTTATGCTAATGAAATCGGAGAACCATCAAGGATTGAACTACTGTTTAACCTTCATTATAAACTTTTAAGACAGTATAACTACATTTTTAACAAATAAGTCTTGTGCAAACACGCTGTAATAGAAATAACGAGTTGAAATTTGAACTTGATAAAAGCTTGTCATCATAAGCAACGTGACTGAAGCAAAACGAGTGTTACGAAAAAATATGGAGGTAAAAAGAAAACGGGAAAATTGGATCAAAGGTTCTAATTATCTTTTACATGGTCATTACATAGCCAGTGATTCATACTTCGATTTCTGTACTTAGTAAATATTGAATCGGCATGACAATAAGAGATGATAAGGCATGATGTGGGGATATACATGTGGTATACATGGCCAGAAAGAATGTGACCATAAACCAACTAGTTACGAATGTCCTTTATGTCCCTATCTTTGTTCCTATTCATTATCATTTGGATCAGGCCACCTACGCTTTGAAGGCCTTGTGCATTTTCCACCTATGTTGCTATATACAACATAATTGTGCATTGTGTGGGCTAACAGTCACCTCCGTTTTCTTTCTGAGTAAACTAGTGTGACGTTAGAGGGTGTAGTATCAACTCGAACATAGTAACTCGGGGGAATAATGATAGCTGGGACCAACGTTAGGAATTTCCCTCAGTCCGTTAAAAATAGGATCTAATAGGAAACGTGAACCGTGGTTGAGAGACCAAAACGTCAATTCAAAACATTTGAAGTTAAAAAATAGGAAGGATGGCGCAGAGATTTTCCAGAAAAAATTAGCCTTTAAATCAATCAGTTAATAACCCCCTAAACGCATTTATCATTAACCTTCATGCTTGACGGAGTAAAATTGAAGGAAGACCTACTTTACGACTGTTCAACAAACAATGTGCTAAAATAATAACGTTTTCCTCGGTAATGTTTACAAATTCCTGATGAACTGGACCAGAAAAGTTCCATTTGATGACATTATGTTTAGTTTGTATTAAAAAAAGCGCGTTTAACACACACACACCAATAATCAAGTCACGTTTATCACGCACAAATAAACACTCAATAATTTTAAGGCTTTGCCAGAAAAATTGTTTTGAAAACTGATCAAAAACACTTCATTTGAAATGACAATTATAATTAATTAAATCCATGCTCAATAGGTAATAAGATTGAGAGTTTTAAAAGAAGTTTTACTGAACAAATGACTCCGATTTTATCAATGATAGAGCACACGTCATACATTAGGCTGCGATCAAAAGTTATTTTACACAGGCTTATGGTATTATCATCTAAATGACCTTGTCGAAGTAGGTGAGATTGAGTTTGAAACCAGGATATGTTGCAAAATGGTCACGTACTTAAGTAAATCAGTATCTCCATGCGATTTCACCAACTTGATTATAACAGCGTTCCCCATTTGATGAAGAGAGAAGATTGATTCTGTGTAAAACGAAACTATTGATTAAACAGTGGAACTGCAGAAAATTTCCAGTTCCTCGGTGGACTATGCATATAAGCATATAATACCGAAGAGGTATTGTCACAACGCATTTTCTATACAGAACTTTTCGGTTAAAAACACTAAGGATGAATTTCATAATCCTTCATCTACTGATGTGCATATATCAGTTGACAAGATTCTTACTAGAGTTACTTAATCCGGATGCATAATGAAAACTATCTGTTAATATGTCAAAGAAGACCTTAACACTTGATTCAGCAAAGAACAAGTGAAGGCTATCATAGATTCTACACAGGAACATTTTCTGATGGTCAACATAAAACGTCTTGATGCTTATTGATTAGATACCAGACAGTGTTTGTTTTTATCGTTTACAAACAGTGGAAATAGTCAGTATTAAAGTAATGAAGCTTGGGGTGAGTGTATTCCAGAAGTAGTATTTTTCCAGACCGCTATGTCAAATTATTTAATTTGTTTTATTCATTATCATCTACTGACGGTTGCTGCTATGAAATTAACAAGATAAACGCATTTTGGTTGAAAGAAAACTGATTCAAAGTGATATTGTCGATACTCCATTTTTATGAGTGTAATGGAAAAAAAAATCTACATTACTATTCATCTTAAAGTGGCTAATCAGAGTTGCTTGAGGTGGTATTTAAACCATCTTCAGGTATATAAGGCTTACCTGTGGACAAGAATATGCTTGTTTTTGATATCATGAGAAAAAAATACTCTGAATAGTATCGCGCGTATAATTGACTTAGTTGTGGCTAACAACTGGAAGTATCAACAAATAATAATCGCTAATATCTATGGTACAAGAGGTGGCTTACGTGCCTCAATGGGTAACAGTTCGGTGTTTGAAACGATAGGTAGGAGGTTTGAGTTTCAGTGGGAACAACATCACTCACTCTGGTGTAAGTAGATCCAGCTGGTGAGTCTCGAATAGGATGAAACACGCATCCTGAATTTCACTGCTAGTCACCAAGATGAATACAACATCATGAGTATCAGGCAGTATCGAAGTGTTCGTATAGGAGCCCATCTGCCAACAGAGGTCGAGCAATTTAGCTCGGCATGGGGACAGGAAATTACATATGCTAAACAACAAAGATTGAAATGTTTTTATTCTCAAGGTAATTCGTATTATGTATTGGTTGACAGCAGTTGGAGAAGTACTAGGAATAATAGTGAACTAGGTATCTATTCACTTCTAGCTCAAAACTTCTCCGAATTGGGCATCTTAAGATTCCGAAAGCGATCCCGGTAAAAACTTTCACATCCAAGAGTAAACTCGATAGTTATATTACACCATGAATAAACTAAGGAGGAAATGTAAATTGGAACTGAATAAAAGTATATCCTTTTTGTGAGAACTGGAACTCTTTAACTACATCACATATAGGATTAAGGTAGGTAAGCTGCAAAAATGATCTCAAACTAGGGAAAAGCATATAGATGATTTTCAGTACTATCTAGTTTTTAGTGTTTCCTTAGATAATGGGGATAGATATTTCAAAGAAGATATAATCACAGATCGATATTAGCTAGGAAAATGTTGAAAACCTGAAGATATTGGATAGCTGATGTTCATTAATCGATGAGGAAAATGCTTGACAAATATACAGATTCTTCCAGGAAAAATTTCACCAAATACCTTGTTTTCTTACGGACATCTTGTTTAGAAACCGATAAGCTGATTCAAGAAATTCGCTAGATAATCATTTTTTTTAAAAAGTGTTTATGTAAAATAAATTTGAAGATTTATGGAAATTTAGGGATTTTTCAAGTTGGTATTCATCAAGAACTGGCATCAGTTGGAGGAACATTGAAAACCTAGGAGCACTGGACAGCTATTTCGTCCTAGTGTGGGACTCTTCCGTAGCGTGCAGTTATGACCCCACGATCTCTAGGTTTCGTGGCCAGCACGTTACCACTGAGCAACTGGGACGGGATCCAATGGTCCATATTTCCAACTTCTGTCAGTTCACGACATGACACGACCGCCACCCAATGTCATCGTTGAGTAATTGCCCTCATGGCCACCAGGTTGCCTCAGTGGTCACGACTTCTCACTGGATCTTCGGGAATCATCGACCGAAGCTAGCCACCAATGAGCACTATTTCAATTGAGTTTGAGGGATTTGTGAGGATTTAGAGATTTTTCAGGTTGGTATTCATCATGGAACAACATCAGTTGGAGGAACATTAGAAACCTAGGAGCATTGGACAGCTGTTTCGTCCTAGTGTGAGAATCTTCAGCAGTGCGCATCCACAATGTTGATCATAACAAAATCTGACTGCTATGGAAAGTATTCTCGAAATGTTCATAATAGGGAGATAGAGAGAAATGGTGCGATTTAAAAGGCCACCCTATCGACGATCAAATAAACTAACTGGATTCCTTCGTTTCGGCTGCCTCAAAGGCAGATTTTCATATAATGAAGAAGTCTGATTAGTTATTACAGCAGTTGCCAGAGTGGCCTTTAAAATCCCCAAGAGAAATGACCAGTCTGGAGAGGAACCAATCAAAATGTACTTTATTTTATCACGCCTACAATTAGACGGACAGGCGGAGGATCAGTCAATCAGTAGGATCATTTTAAACAGCAAACTATCTATATATTAGCTGTATTATACTTTGTTAATATCCTCGATCTTTCGACCCTGAAAACACGTTTCTACACGTCTATTGTATCCTTCCCATTACTTGGTCGGGTCAGGAATCAAATAAGAATTTGTTGAACGTTGATGACTGATGACTGACATTCGATATCCGTGCAGCGTTAACGGTCATAGTGCAAAGCAGTTTTTCGAAATCAAAACAGTTCACTACTGTGTATTACACTGAAAAGTATCAAACAAGGATGAAACACCTATTTTTGAGATACATTTTATATGATATCAATGCATGATGGAAACTACATTGCTCAGCTAACAACATCAGATGAAATTGAAGGGATATGATATA